TTTTTTTATCCATGTAAAAGTTATGGCTCAGCACTTCCCCTCCATATAATTTGCTTGCTGGGCTATTCTGTCCTGTCAGTGGCAGGGGAATTAATGGTGGTTATATTATCAAAGCAGTAAAAGCCTTCAACAGTTAAGCTTAGTCAAGCAGTGTTTGGCTTTTCTGATTAATGCCCAAGACTGTGACAGTATTCAAAGCCGAATTTCAGCAATTGTTGATCATGATGAATGAATTTAGGTGGAGATTGGGAGATCAACGTTCAGCATTAGGTGAGTGGAGGTTAATATCTTATTTGCTCCTGGTGTCAATTAGAAAGACATTCAGGGTCCGCTTATTGCAGTATCTGGTAGCTGGAGAAGATCTCCACCATGCCGATGTATGCATGCCGGCTTCCAGGAGGAACCTCTGGCAGTCGAATCAGTTAACCAATGTCATGGCCATCGGTAACTTTTTGGCTGCACACTGTCTGGGGTCAGAACAATGTAGCAATAAATGAGAAATGGGGGGTGAGTGCAATTTAACATATACTGCAAACAGTGTCTGCGTTAAATAAAAGTGACTGCTCCACAAAACACATCCACTGCCAGGTTGAATTGTTATAGTGTCTAAAAGGAAGGGAGCTACACTAATCAAATTAAACTTAAAGGGGACCTATAATGCTTTTTCTTTTGGGCTTTTATTGCCTTTAATCCATAGTTACAGCTAAAGAGTGACAGGAAACTATGATTGTACTGCCACATCTCTCTTTTGCAATTAACCTTTTTAAAAATAAATCAGTGGAATTCTGGTGTCTCTCCCTTTATTTGCCATGGCCTTTCGAGTCAGTTACATTACACATTAACTGCCGGGACTAAAATAGTGCTGCCAAAAAAAGTTCATCTACAATTAAAAGCATCAATGGATTTGACATTTTATTGCTTTAAATTAGTGTTAAAAGTCTCAACGTGTCTTCAGTTTCTGATACATTAAGTGTACTAATTTATTTTTATGGTTTAAATACTTTGCCCGAACCTTAATGTTTCTTCAGATATTTTTTCCTTTCCATACTTTATGAATCATTTAAACGTGTCACATGCGTACGCATCCTGCTGTGGAGGTGCTGTCTGATCAGCTTCTCTAAATCTTGATTTTTACATATGCACTTGCTTGCAAATAGCAGCAGAGGGCAGTAAATGCACATATATGAAGGGCTGTGCGTGAGTGAGTGTGGGAATGCTTTGGGATTCACATGCTAGTTGTTATTCTTCATCAATAGATATTTGCACTGAGATAATTAATTCATCCCCTTTCTAATCTCTCATAGCATGGTTTCTTTGGCATAGTGACATATTAGCCTTGGGCTAAATTATCCAGTGGGTATCTAGAGGAAAGAAATGTGTGGATAGAAATGTACTTTAAAAACAGGAATGGTGTCAATTGAACCCAAAGTTTGTCTGTTTGTCTGTGTTTGTATAAGCAGTTTGACTTAGATAAAATAATAAAATCTGTTTCTGATGAATTATTTAAATATCACACTTCCAAGAATAGAAAGACTTCCAATAATATTTAGAAGTGATTTAAGTTGAAATCCCCTAACAGTTCTGAATCGAGGCAGCCAGTCTTGGCCCTGTATTTTCTGCCCAATCAACAAGCATTGATCCTTCCCGTTCACCTGATCAATATCCACTGTCAGATATGGTTTGCAATAGAGCTTGTGTTAACACAAGGGGTGCAGGGTGTCCTCAGACGCCACAGGAGCCCCAACCCTTAACCCCACCATGTTGCTATGTGCAGACCTGCCTTGTGCTGTCCAATCAATGAGCTTTGATCAAAACTGTCAGCAGCACTCAAGTCACACCGCTGTCCACTGCTGTGTGTGTACGCCTGTAGCTGGTGAGTGATGAACACACTTTGGAGGCTGATGTTGAGCCTACCCAGACACGACCATTTTATCACAGAGTCTTTACCACCAAGTCTTATTACAGTGTCCTCACACATTTCCGCACACATGCACAGAAGCCATTAAAGACACAAAGTCAATGGACTCAGACAAGTAGCCTCATGTATTGCTTTAATATCTGCAGGCATTCCCGGCACCGTAAAAAGAGCTATGGGAGTGCTTCCATCGACTGTGACGAGCAGTGTTGCTAATGCTGCATTGGGAATTCTCCTGAAAGGCAATCATACAAGTAATCCACACTAAGAGTAGAAAATATTGGAACTACTACTTCTACTACTACTACTGTATTTAAACTCGTTTTGGTGCAGGGCACAAACTTGATTAAAACAGTCTGGGATTTCCAAAGTGGTTGAAGAAGAATTTGTATGTAACTGAGTGAACTGACTGAATTGTGGAACAAGGGATAAAAGATATGAGAACATATTTATGTTATGCATGTATACAGTATATCTTTAAAATGCATTTCAGCCTGAAATAGACATGCACTGGTAAATACCTGCACATCATTTTCTTTATTCTGACAGTGTGAGTACAGAGAGATGCCAGGTAGGGGGATGGATAGACGGGTTTTGAGAATAAAATCCCACTTCCCTGCGGAAATCTCAGCAGGTAAAAGCAGATTGCAGCTGTTGGATGAAATGCATGAATTTTAAAAACAGTCATGTTGCCACATTGACAGCCATGCATTTTTTTGGGGGGAGGTGAAATTTGTCATGGCTTTTGAAAAGGTTTCACAGGCCCCTGGGTCCTTAAACAGCACAAAAAGCTTCAAATGAAAAAAGGGAGACAGCCAACAATATTAGAGTTCTGAAGCCGCTTGCAGCAGTTGTTCCTAAAGCAGCTATAATCAATATTTTTTAATAGCAATATATGAAACAATGTGACATGGATTGCTTGTAGCAATTATCACCTGAATCTGAAGCTCCCCTCAGCTTTACAGAGCTTATAGCTAGTTTCGGCCCACTGTTCATCTTGCTGCCTTGCTCAAAGGCTCAAGAGGTGGAGAACTGGCACCTCTACAGCATCCAGCGTACTGACTGGTCCATGCTGAGCTTGAACTGGTTGCCAAGCCACACATTACAAAACACTCTTGTTTTTCTGTTTGTTAAACTTTAAATGAGCAAATAACATTGGCTTGTTTAGACTAGCTGGACTCGGAAAACGGAAATGAATGAAGCAAAGGCATTTTGAAAGAATAAGCAGTTTAGTTAATGTATCTCATGCTAGTGAAATTATTTTCCAGCTAAGACATTCCAGTTAGAATAGTGCAAGCCAATTTAGTAAACCACTAGTTTGAAACTAGCATGTGGTTAGGAACAACTGTATTCACAAATTTATTTCAAGAATGAGAACTGAGAATAACTGGTGCAACCCAATCCTGAGGTTTATCCATTACAAATGTGAAATCTACTCGGCAATCTTAGAAGAGAAAGTGGAAGGAAGAGTCAAATCCTCTCTGTCTTTTTATTGTGGCACTGTGCATTGTGCCAAACAGTGTTTGCAATCTCTGGTAGGATATGAAGATCTTAAATCTTTACCCATTAAAACTTCACTTGAGACACTCCGTTTTCTCCACAGCCAATTGTAAAGAACAAATATCGAGAAGATCTGAGTGACTCTGAGGCTGCGTTTTTATAGCCGAGA